TGTGTCTTAAAAGTTCTACCCCCCTCTCATTTTGTGCATTTTCAAAATTAACCCCAAAATTAAGCCTCCTCGAAAATTGTACCCTCCCCCCCTCCATCCAAAACCCTCGACCCCCCGTGGGACATATCAAAAAATCGGTCCCCTACAGATAGACGCCAATAAGATCTGGGTCAAAGATTAACCACTATTGTAAGCACCCATATCGAGACTCTTTGGACCCCTCATGGGACCTCCTCATGACACTGTTGCCCAGAAAGTTAAACCAAAGGGGAAGTTAAGCGCAGTACTCATAATAGGCTGTGAACGAGGCGAAGATGTTTTTCCAGTCGTGGTTTTCCTCCACATGACCGGAAGAACGCCTGCGTTTGCAGGCTATTTACAATAAAAATATTGTAAATAGCGCAAGAGGGCTTAGCGACCGCGCGTCGGACTCCAAGTAAGAGCTTCATGCATTTATGCAACTAAATTTGTGCCTTAGGCGTGGGGAAACTCCCATGTCGATTCCGGTCCTCATAGTTTTTATTATCACATGTTTCTTCATTTTCTTCCTTGATTTGAATTTCCTATGTAGACTATATAAGTATCAAATTTCTTGAGAATGTTTACTCGCGAATCTTTAATTTCGCAATTTTTTTTTACAATCGCGCAAAACGCCAAATACCCACATAATTAATAATGGTAATCGAACTGAGTGGAGTGCAGTTTGGTCTGAAATCATACGCGTGATTTCAAAATCGAACGAGCGCGCAGCGCGAGTTTGATGTGAAATCACAAGTATGATTTCAGACCAAAATTGCACGACACGAAGTTCAATAATTACCACTTTATTACATCCATTTTGAAATCGCAGAATTTAGTCAGTACTAATACTTTATTCACGGAGTAGCCGGTTTGTTATAAAGCCGAAACAAAAAGGCTTTTACATCTCATTTTGTATTCGAAACAGAAATGATGCGATATATAGAGCAAAAATGGTGCGATTTAAAACAGAAATGATGCGATTTAGAACATGAATGACGCGATTTGGAACAGATGCGATTTAGAGCAAAAAATGGTGCGATTTAGGAATAAATCACACTGCTGAGAGCCAATCAGATTGCACGGATAGCCAGTGATTTCAAAGTGGACGTAATAAAGGGTCAAATAAGATTTATATAAATAAGATGTAGTTTCATTAGAAAATGATCATGAAACACGAATAATCAAACGAAAACTACGTTCGATACTCACTACAAATATTTACTGGACTACATAACATAGCAGTTAATAGCTACCGAGAGAAAAGTAAAAACATTTTTAAAGAAAGTCTTAAACCATTCTCTTCACTTGACTGTTCAGTTTTTTCGTTTGGACCGCCAGGGTGGGGAAACCACAATCGGCGACAAAATTTGCTGAGACACTTTGCACTAAGGGGCCTTTCGGACGTTTTATAGACCTCAAGAGGAGAAAATAAAGCTTTTCTTCCCCCATCCCCTCTTTGCAATGTTGTGCCGCTATTCAAGTTGCCTGTAGAAAACAACAAAATACCCCAACTTTGAACGGAGGAGGGAGGTGGGGGGAGGGGGGGATGTATTGTTTTGGATTGTTTTGTTCCCTGAAGTTACACTATTTGAGTACACTGTCTCAAAAGTTTTGTTGCCAATTGCTGCTCAAATACTCCAGTTTTTAAACACTCTTGACTGTTTAGAGTCAAAAATGATTTTTGTGAGTCTTTTGATCTGAATAGCTATGAGCAAAAAACACAACGCTAATTGTAGGTTACTATGAGCAGAACAATGTAAGAGACAAATGAGTCCTCACCAATGCGGGCTATTTCCGAGTTGACTCAAGCCTCTGTTCCAAAGCGAGGCTAAGTGCAGAGCTATTGACAGATAATAATGATTTTTTATTCTCATGCAAATGAAACTCATTTTTACAAGAAAAGTTTTGCACTTTTTCGAAATTTGGAAAAGGCATTAATGGTCTACTGAAGTGATTGTATAGTGTATGGCTCCCTTATTATTGTCACACTGAAATGGCATCGAATACTATTTCTGGATGACTCCAGGTTTTTTTTTAGGAGTATTACAGATTTAACTACGAAAGAGAGAGATTCCATGAAAGAGAAATATTGTATAGCGAAATATTTTATATGTGTGTAACGAGGTATAAATTGCCAAGTAACAGTTTTATTTTCGATCGGATGTCAAAAAACACATTTTCCTTAAATAAAATATGCTTGCGTCATATTCTTTTGTTTATATCATTATCTTGAATTGGTACTAATAAAAGATATTTTTAGGCAGAATATCATCACACACAATTTCTTAAAATAAACTTGTAACCAATTGCGTCGTGTCCTTTTGATCACATGATTTGTCAAAGTCTTTATAATCAGTTGACGCCCCTTTGATATCATCATATCAAGATACGACTGAGTGAAACAGTTATAGTGAAGCGAAAAAGAGAAGTTCTTCCTTCGTGAAAATACAGGTAGGCTAAATCTGATAAATTAGATTTTATAATTAGCGAAAGGTTTTCCTACCTGTAACAAGCATATAATATTGTTCAATGTTATGCTGTCTGTGCACTTTCTAGACAAGCCACACTATTAGTGTTTTCAAAAAGTTTCCTAGTTGTTTTTATCGCTTTTTTTATGTTTCCCGTGAATGCATTAATAGCCTCACAAACTGACGTAAGGTATTTTAGTTAATAACTTCGGACATGAACTGTTTTAGATAAATCTTGTTCCTTGCCTTCGTATTTCCAAGTCGCAAAATTCTTCAGCACAACCTTTTCTCTACCAGAAGCATTTGACTGATTTAGTTCGTCTTTTCCCCATTTAGCAAAAAACAAACAAAAAAATAAAAGAAAGAAAGAAATCCATGCGGATTTATTTGAGACGGTCATTCCATCTAAGACAGATTTTCCATCACGGATTTGTGGTCTTTTAGCACAAATTTAAGCTCGTCCTTAATAGCCGGACCCACTGAAGGACAAAGACATACATACTTTTGCTTATTCCTCGCAATTCAACTTTCTTGCCATTTAATACATTCAATTAATTTTTTCGATTTTTTTTTCACGGTAGTTTTAATGTTATTTATCAGTAGGGCGAAAAAAACTTATATACCACAGCAATGACGTGGATGATTGTATGGGGGCAAAAATCAAAACACCAAAAAATCCCTCAACCAAAAATTCCCCCCACCCCCCTCCCCCCCCCAAAAAAATCCCATACAGAACTACGCGGCCGAAATACGCGAGCACCACCACGAATCTTTACTTATATCAAGCCGCCCAAGATAATACTTGCCCGATTTTCCTACTCCAAAAACTCCCGGAATCGAAAATTTCAAACCCAAAAAATCCTTCTATCATCGCCGTCACTTGAAATCCGGAGTACCTCCACTGGGTTTTTGTTCAACCTCAAATTTCTTAATCGAAAGTTTTGCTTATGACGTACTTCATAGCCACAAAACAGATTATCGAATACGAAGCTGAATCGTAAAGACTTAAAAGTAAAACGGAAACAACCACGAATGGGAAAAGAACCAAGTATCTTCTATTTTTTGGAAACCGAAATACACGCGACTGGAAAACGAAGAACCCTCAACTCCGGTGAAAGGGCCTGCAATCAACTACAGTGGGTCAGTTAATTTGAAGCGTGACCATCCCCTTTGAGAATCTGCGTTGCCTCTAGGTCCTCTTACCCACGGTGGGACATTTGTAATCAAACGTCTGTCTCGGGGAGGGGAGAGTATAGAAGAGTTTTACATTTTTAGCCCCTTACATCGAAAAAATTTTGCAGTATTGTAGTGTTTGGCAAACTTTAAAGCAATACTTATGTAACTATGGTCTTGCATTCTGATATTGTGGTATTTCTAAACGTGCGAAATTTTTTGTGACTGGCGATTTTTAGCATGGTTTTGTCGAAATTGTCGAGTTTTCTTTGCTGTGTTACGGAGTTCGGTATACTCCTAGCCGCTCCAATCTCGTTTTTTTTTTTTTTTGCGTATGCGTATACTTCTACTACAAGACCGGCTTCAATAGTGTGATATCGTGCCCAGTTGAGGTAGTAGAAAGGTTTTCACTTTAATGCCAAACAATATTCCCATGATAACTTGTTCTGCAGTTGAAGACCCTTGTTAAAACCATCAACAAAAGCAATTAGAAAGGCATTTGTAATAACGGATGCCGAAATCCTATGTAAAATGTCCGCCATTTTTTGTTTTCAGAACCAAAACAACTCATTCTCATCCCCAGGTCTTCGCGGTTAACGGTGCATTAACCTGTAGAAGGCTGCATTTTTGACGTCATTTCCTCGTTAAACACAAAATTCTTCCAAATTTAGTCATCAGTAACTGGTTATGGTGAATTATGCGTAAGCTTTTAGCCAATCAGAATTGGGGAAATTACTTTAAATGAATAATAATATGTTTTTTAAGGGTCATTGTAATGATGGCACATTACTGCAATTAACTCCCGATTCTGTTTTTAAATATGATTCTGTCACGCGTTACTGAAGTGGCACTGTAACTCGCTGCTACTAAATGGATTGACTACGTAACAAAATAATGAATTTTTTTTTTAATGCTTCAACGCTTTATTCCAAGTACCAAAATAATGAATAACTGAAAAAAAAAACATCGCTCTGAATCTGAAGATGAATCAGCTACCGCGATTGTCGAAACGTGAGTTGGCAATGGTTGGTTACTAGGGTGGCCTGAGCTGTGAGTGGGGCATTGAATTCTGGAAAGCAGTTTCATCTCTTGATTGAACGCGCAACGGGAAAATGAATAAGATTACGTGTATTGTCCTGTTATATGAAAATGACTTCACCGCGAGTTTCATGACTGCCTGCCACAGAATTGTTTAATTGATTTGTTTTAGTTAAAATTTTATACTAATGTAAGTTTACCATTTGTAGCAAAATGAATGGCTGTTTTGGTCGCAGTGCTAATACAATCGAAGATAATATTAATTTACAGCTTTATACTGATTTTCCAGATCAAACCATCATGGCACAGAGTGGAAACGGAGCAGTATGTGAAAGTGATGTTACATCACTTGGTACCGGACAAGGGCTGAACTTTGATGATGATACACTGAAAGGTAAAGATTCTTACAACTGTTAATAGTGTATCACCAAATGGCCTTTAACACAGCAAACTAAAAAGTGTTGTTGTCAATGTGGTCATAGCCGCCAAATGTTTATATTTATCTAATTAACAATGTTTTTATGAGGAATTTTTATCAACAAAGTATTATCAGTAACGAAAGCTGTTGCAAATTATGACTATTATCTTCTTAAGTTCTATAAGGCTATGATATATAGAGGATATTACACGGTGGCGAGAAGATATGAATTTTATGTTCGAGTGGCAAGAACAATATCTCACTCGTTCGCTTCGCTCACTCGTGAGATATTGTTTTTGCCACGAGAACATAAAATTCATATCTTCGAGCCAACGTGTAATGTTCTTTTTATTATATGGAGAAACCATTTCAACAAAAGCAAAAGGCGGGAATCGAGACGTCATTGAACGATACGACACTCACAAAGGTGACATACGGAAAATACGCCACTCGGGTCCCGGATGAAGTGGCGTATGGAATCTACCAGTGGTTTAGTTCCCAGTAAAACACTCTCCTCCATATAATAAACAAGTAAATTTAACCGAGTTTCATTTAATTGGACCAAAAAGAAATAATATGTTTTTGAAGAGTTATTCTAATGATGGCACATTGCTGCAAATAACTCCTGATTCTGTTTTTAAACAGTGCCGCTTCAGTAATATAACGCGTGACAGAACCGTGTAACTCGCTGCTACTAAATGGATTGACTACGTAACAAAATAATGAATAATTGAAAAAAAACATCGCTCTGAATCTGAAGATGAATCTGCTACCAAGATTGCCGAACGTGAGTTGGCAATGTTTGGTTACTAGGGTGGCATGAGCCGTGAGTGGGGCATTGAATTCTGGAAAGCAGTTTCATGTCTGGATTGAAAGCGCAATGGAAATATGAATTAGAATACGTGTACTGTCCTGTTATATGAAAATGACTTCACCGAGCGTTTCATGACTGCCTGCCATAGAATTGTTTAATTGATTTGTTTCAATAAAAATTTTATACTGATGTAAGTTTACCATTTTTGGCAAAAGGAATGGCTGTTTTGGTCGCAGTGCTTATACTATTAAAGATAATATTAATTTACAGCTTTACACTGATTTTTCCAGATCAAACCATCATGGCACAGAGTGGAAACGGAGCAGCAAGTGAGAGTGATGTTACATCACTTGGTACCGGACAAGAGCTGAACTTTGATGATGACACACTGAAAAGTAAAGACTCTTACAACTGTTAATAGTGTATCACCAGATGGCCTTTAACACAGCAAACTAAAAGGTGTTGTTGTCAATGTGGTCATAGCCGCCAAATGTTTTTAAAGAGCAAACGGGATTTATCTAATTAACAATGCTTTTATGAGGAATTTTTATCAACAAACAAGTAAACTTAACCGAGTTTCACTTAATTGGACCAAAAAGAAATAATATGTTTTTTAAGAGTTACTTTGATTATGGCACATTGCTGCATTTAACTCCCGATTCTGTTTTTAAATGTGGTTCTGTCACGCGTTACTGAAGTGGCACTGTAACTTGCTGCTACTAAATGGATTGACTACGTAACAAAATAATGAATATTTGAAAAAAACATCGCTCTGAATCTAAAGATGAATCAGCCAATGAGGTTGTCAAAAGGAAGGTTGGCAATGTTTGGTTACTAGGGTGGCATGAGCCGTGAGTGGGGCATTGAATTCTGGAAAGCAGTTTCATGTCTGGATTGAAAGCGCAATGGAAATATGAATTAGAATAAGTGTACTGTCCTGTTATATGAAAATGACTTCACCGAGCGTTTCATGACTGCCTGCCATAGAATTGTTTAATTGATTTGTTTCAATAAAAATTTTATACTGATGTAAGTTTACCATTTTTGGCAAAAGGAATGGCTGTTTTGGTCGCAGTGCTTATACTATTAAAGATAATATTAATTTACAGCTCTACACTGATTTTTCCAGATCAAACCATCATGGCACAGAGTGGAAACGGAGCAGCAAGTGAGAGTGATGTTACATCACTTGGTACCGGACAAGAGCTGAACTTTGATGATGACACACTGAAAAGTAAAGACTCTTACAACTGTTAATAGTGTATCACCAGATGGCCTTTAACACAGCAAACTAAAAGGTGTTGTTGTCAATGTGGTCATAGCCGCCAAATGTTTTTAAAGAGCAAACGGGATTTATCTAATTAACAATGCTTTTATGAGGAATTTTTATCAACAAACAAGTAAACTTAACCGAGTTTCACTTAATTGGACCAAAAAGAAATAATATGTTTTTTAAGGGTTATTCCAATTATGGCACATTGCTGCATTTAACTCCCGATTCTGTTTTTAAATATGGTTCTGTCTCGCGCTACTAAGGTGGCACCGTAACTCGCTGCTACTAAATGGATTGACTGCGTAACAAAATAATGAATATTTGAAAAAAAACATCGCTCTGAATCTGAAGATGAATCAGCCAATGAGGTTGTCAAAAGGAAGGTTCACAATGGTTGGTTACTAGGGTGGCCTGAGCCGTGAGTTGGCCACTGAATTCTGAAAAGCAGTTTCACGTCTTGATTGAAACCGCAATGGAAAACTGAATGAGATTGCGTGACTGTCGCGCTTTTCACGACTGCCTGCCTCAGAATTGTTTAATTGATTTGTTTCTATAAAAGTTTTATGCTAATATAAGTTTACTACTTGTGGCAAAATGAATGGCTGTTTTGGTACCAGTGCTTATACAATGTGGCAAAATGAATGGCTGTTTTGGTACCAGTGCTTATACAAGTGAAGATAATATTAATCTAAAGCTTTATTTAATACTGATTTTTCCAGATCAAACCATCATGGCCCAGAGTGGAAACGGAGCAGCAAATGAGAGTGATGTTACGTCACTTGGTACCGGACAAGAGCTGAACTTTGATGATGGCACATTGAAAGGTGAAGATTCTTACAACTGTTAATAGTGTATCACCAAAAGGCTTTTAAGGTGATTCCTTAGTAAAAGAATCTAAAATAGATTGTAGATGAAACTTGGTACACTGATGAAACAAGTCAAGATGATGGGTCACGGGGCTTGTTTTGACGTCACAATGCTGACTAATGCTGCTATTTAGGACCCTTTGACAAAAACGGCGCGCAGCCCAAAATTAGACAAAAAGGAGAGGTTTTTTCGATGATGCATGTGGTATTGCACAGAATTTGACTCTAATGTATTGTTTATCTACTTACGTACCAGAAAAATGCCTTTTAATGCCCTTGTTTTTAATTTACGCTCCAAAGTAGAATTAAATTGGACACGCGCTATTCGACCCGTGATAGCTCAATCCGTACAATTTAGTAAAATTGCCAAAAAACTAAACATAGATTTGTGCCAATTTTTTTTCTCATCGAAAGGAAGCACTGTCCTTATTAAAATCATCAAATAAAAAATGGGGGTCACCGCACTCCTTTTTGCGGTAGAGCGGCAGGAAGTGCGCACCAAATGCATTTTGTCCGATTTTTGACAGAGGACTGGGGCGCGTTTCAAAATGTCATATATCTGAAAGGGGGAAGAAGTATTAAAAAAATCCGTTTTTACAGAATTTACATCGAGATGTCTCATTTAGGACACAGTGTGATAAAGAAAGCGTTTAAATGAAAATCAAAGTAAGAACAAGTTTAACATCCACTATCGAGGTTCTCCATGAGGAAGTCGAACTCAGCAACAAGCGCGCGTACTGCTTCCGTTATGCACATTCCCAACACACTGAGTCTCACCTCGGCAAGAAACAACCGCAAGCAAAAATTTCCAATAGCTTTTCTCTTCAGTAAACTTCATTTTAATAATGTTACTGAGATGCTCTTTTTTTACGGCGGCCATCTTGTTATGCGCAGTAAGAGATTCGCAGTGCACTTCCAGCGAATCACCTTAACATAGCACACTAAGGAGAAATGAAATAAAAGATACACAAAAGAAAAAAAAACATCATTTGAAAAGGTTCAACATACAAAAGTGGTTAAGGAGTGAAAGTCGTTAAACATTATCTCAGTGAAGGTGGTTTTTAAATTTTTTATCTAGATTAGGCTTGTTTTAGATTTCGTGGTGAACGAATTACTTTCTCTCGCGGATTCACCGTTGTATCCAGCACTGCATTAGCTCCCGGCAAGTACGACTCCTATTTTCCCGCCAACCCGAAAGATGCGCACGTACTGCGCATAACGCTTCAGTAGTATTCTCTAAAGCTACAAATTTAATGCATTTCAAGCTTTTTTGGCAGTTTTAACTTCAGAAAGTGAGTAACTGAACGACCAAATTTGCCACTGTTTCACAAGTCTGTGACCAATGTCAGTCATGTCATGGTCATCGCCATTTATGAGTTAACAAGTGACACCATTTGCCTATCCGGGGAATAAATGATATCTGTCATATTTTTTGTTTTAATCTGTAGCAAAGAGACGGAGACGGAAATGAACACAAAAAAAGTTGCACACGATAGTCTTCATTGCGCTCTTATCTTTTGTCCTCACAATTTTAATTCACTATTTTATTTTTTTTATACCATAGCAAGTTTCGTTCCCAAGGGTTATTGCGCATTTCAATGGACGTGAATGATCATTCTGTCTTGGTCGAGCCAACTAAAAAAATACTTGCCAAATTTTCCTACCCCAAAAGAATCCTGGAATCAAAAATTTCAAACCCAACAAATCCTTCGATCATCTCCGTCACTAAAAATCCGGAGTACCTCCACTGGGGTTTCGTTCCACCCCAAATTTCTTTATCGAAAGTTTTGCTTATGACGTACTTCATAACCGCAAAACAGATTGTCGATTACGAAGCTGAATCGCAGATATCTACAAGTAAAAAGGAAACAACCACGAATGGGAAAAGAACCAAGTATCTTCTATTTTTTGGAAACCGAAATACACTCAACTGGAAAACGACTCAACTCCGCTGAAAGGGCATGCAATAAACTACAATGGGGTGGGGTATTTGGAATCAAACGCGTGCCTCGTGGAGGGGAGAGTATGGTGGAGGATTAAATTTTTAGCTCTTTACATCGAGAAATTTTACAGTATTGTGGTGTTTGCCAAATTTTCATGCGGTACTTATGTAATTGTGGTCTTGAATTCTGATATTGTGGCATTACTAAACAAGAGGAATTTTTTGTTTTTGGCTCGGTGATTTTTAGCATGGTTTTGTTGAATTTGTTGATTTTTCTTTGCGGTGTTACGGAGTTCGGCATACCCCTATCCCCTGCAATCTTAATTTTGGAGCATGCGTATAATTCTACTACAAGACCGGCTTCGATAGTGTGATGTGGTGCCCAGTTGCGGGTGTACAAGGTTTTCACTTTAGTGCCAAACAGTAATATTCCCATGGTAATTTGTTATGCGGTTGAAGACCCTCGTTGAACCCATGAACAGAAACAATTAGAAAGAAATTTATAATAATGGATGCCAAAATGGTATTCTGTAACCACAGCACCTTGACATGGTATCATTTAATATATAGATTTAGCCAGGGCTAAAAGCGAAGCTCCCGTTAATAAATTCATAATTTAAATCAAACAATAAACTTGTAATCCGCAGATCAGGGCACATTCATTTGACGTTTGAGGCAAAGGCTAAGTGATTTTAGAGAAAAATAATTTGACAGTCCAAGAGTGAAACAGCTTTTACATCGAGTTATTAAATAATCTTATTTGTACACCCAAAAATAGCAATCATGTTCGATCACAGTAGATTAGGCCTGGAAAACAAATAGACCTACCTATTCGTGTATCATAATGTGATAATAATCATAATGTGGCATTCACCACTCTCTCCAACATTGCTCCGTTTGAGAGACTATGGATAATTGGACAACCCCGAAATATAATTTTAAGAAACACAGGCGCCACGATAGTCCTTGGTGGCAGCCAATTTACACGTTGCATTCCTCTGTCTAAAAGAGAGGCCAAAATAAAAAATCAGGCCGGATTTTTTGTGTTCGACAAGTTTAGTTTACTAGTAAATCTTGGCGACGAATCTGGTGGAGTGTAAACCAGCCTTTTAAACATACTTTTTCTCATCACGTCTCAGGTAAACAGTACTATGAGGCCCTTGTTTTTATCATACAAACCTCAGACAGAATTTGTTCTTTTTTGCCCTATTTAAACCTATAATTCTGCAGTTTTTCACAATTTTGCAAGAGAATTTGCACTCGTTCAATATCCACGACGATCAAAGCACGCGCTTCCTTTGCACAACAAATTATAGCATTGAATTATAAAACGTTTTCATGAAGAGAATTCTATAATGCCAGGACTATCAGTTAGAAAAATCTGGTCCTATGTGATATGCAGGGTAAAATGGGCTTTTAATGAAAACGATAAAAAAATTCCCAAAATCACTTTTCGGCCAGCCGGACCGGGCTCACTTTTGACAGGCACTAAATTTTCATTGCGATTAATAGAGTTACCATTTACGCTTCAACATGAGAGATAAATTGTATGTTTAGGTTTTATTTCCCTTTATTTATTAAACTGCGGACGGTTTTGTTATGTGTAACCTTTAAAAGCGAGTGATATTTACGCGCGGCGTTTTGAGTATTCCTGCATGAGATGTTTATGTTCGCCTGGATACAACCGGTGCAGCGATAAAAATTGCGAGAGGGACTACTAACAATCAATAAAATAAATATAATTCGGTGAAACATGTACAGAGACAATAATTTTCATTCACGAAGAGAAGTATTGAGAGTAAAGTGTCTTTGAAAATCATGAGTCAGGTAAGCATAAGCTTATTTATGTTTTAAGCCGGCTTCCCGGTGTTTGCTCTTTTTCAAGATGAACTCGAGGCAAGAAAATCGCTCAGGGCTTTCTTTTTACAGTCAAAATCATAAGTAAATAATCTTCGGAACATTTTCTTTGAATTTGAGGTCAAAAAATGTCTAAAGGCTTTTTAAACCTGATACTATTGTAGGTTAGATCATTGCTCGTATATAAACTTAAGCCGCATAAACCATACGCTCGACTTCAGGAAACCGAAAAAAAAAACACATCAAAGACAACAATTTCTCAGGCTTACCAGTCGAGATGCTGCTTCTGAAGGTCATCAAGTGTTCCAGAATTTTCAACCCTCTTACGCCTCAAGCAAGGGCAAGTGAGTAGGCTCATTTTTGAAAACGATGCCATCCGAAATCGGATTTCCAATGACTTTGACAAGCGGTGCATTTGTCAACAAAGAGCGCAATAAACAAACCAGCCATGAATTACAGAACAATCTTGATAGCAGCTGTATTTCATTTTGTAAACCAAGTAGAAACAGCCAGTTTAAAACATCACAAGATGACACAAAACTCTGTAAGCTCCAGCTATCAGTAGGCAAGTTTCCAGACGCTGCATAAATTTTCCGCATGAACTCACCTGTCAAATTTTGACCAATCAGAACATAAAAATTGAACGAAGAGCGTGACCAACGCGTGACAGTGAGAAAAGTCAAAAGTGATTGCCTTCCCCGCATGTAAATGTAAAAGCCGGTTGAATTTTCGCGTCCGAGATCAGTTCGAAATCAACATTTTAAAAGTGCGGCTCATGAACTCGACTTATTTCATATGCTTTTTAAAAAAATTGAACTTGAGCCTGATCAAATAAAATATCAGCGCAAAACTTTAAACACTACCTGACCTCAATGGATAGGCTAATGAGCCCGCGATACACTCAGATGATGATGGTCAGCGTATACTCTAGTTTGACAGCTGTCAATTAACCTTCATTACAATGGCGAATATTCGAATTAACAGACTACGAGTGTGAGTAAGACATCTCCGTCCGGCATATAGTGGAAAATGCCAGATCGTGTACCTGAGCGAACCTGAGCCCACGTTATTAGTTTTCTAATAGTGGTCTGCACATGTCCCATTTTGACAGCTGTCAATTGACCTTAATTTGGCTTGCCAATATATCTTTAAACGACTGTCAGCCAACTGACAGCCTTGCCC